AGGCTCGTCAGGAGCGCCTCACGAGACACATCAACGTCCTGCGTCGTCTTCTCGCCTTGCTCTCTGACCCTAATCGCACCCTACCCATCATCCCTATTCGCCTAGGGACATCTACGAGGGTGTACCGCGCTTTATGGGACTCTGGCTCGCAGGGAGATTTCGTTCACCCTCGAGTGGTTGAGGAAGCTCGCCTAGCTACCTCTGGGTCTCGCTCTCCTATCTTCGTTACCCTCCGAGATAACAAGACGCAACGCTTCTTCGATCAGACGGTCCCCGACCTCCACTTCTCCCTCACCCTCCAGCCACCAGATAGTACCCAGCGCCTCGGCGCTACCATTCCTCCGCCTACTTCGACGTGCTGGAGACTGGGTACGACTTTATCCTTGGCACTCCTTGGTCTCGCCGGTTCCGTAGCACAGAGGCCGAATGGGCGTTTGAGACACTCATTCTCAAAACGAAGTGTGGTCAAACCCATCGAGTCCCCTTCATTGGAACCACGGGCGACACCCCTCCAAACCTACCTCCCTAGGACCCTCGTCCTTCTGGGTCCCACCCAAACATCTCCTTCACTTCTCCCCGTCAGTTTGCTCACTTCATCCGACAGGAGGACGTCACGCTCTACTCAGTGAACGTCATGGATCTTCTTCGCTACGATCCACTCTGTCCCGAGGTTGAGCTCATCTCACTAGAGCCCGATCCCCCTGACCCTTCCTCCATCTTCGCGGCTCCCATCTCTACATTCACCCCGCAGCCTGCGGATACCCCCTCGACATCCCAGGTTCCTATGCCGTCCATTGCCGAGTCCACCCATACGTCTCGTGCCGATGCAGACGTTGAGGAACTCATGCAGTTCACGGCTGACTTAGAGCCCGTCATTCGCGACCTGATTTGGGAGTACCGCGACGTCTTCCCCCCGTATTTCTCATACAGCTGGATTCCCCCGATGCGCGGTGTCGAGCATTCCATCCAGCTTGTGCCTGACTATCGTGTTCACCATCAGGCACCATACCGACTCTCGATTGCAGAGGCGACGAAACTCGAGCGTCAGCTTGAGGAGCTCCTTCGACTTGGTTTCATTAAACCTAGTAACTCCCCTTGGGGTGCACCTGTCCTCTTTGCTCGCAAAGCGGACGGAACTCTCCGCCTCTGCATCGATTATCGCGGCCTTAACCATTACACGGTTAAGAACAGCTATCCCATGCCCCGCGCGGATGAGCTGTTTGACCGTCTGGCAGGCAACCGCTTCTTCACGAAGATCGATCTTCGTAGCGGTTACCACCAGATCCGCGTTGCCGCAGAGGACCAGCCGAAGACCGCCTTTCGGTCGCGCTTCGGCCACTACGAGTTCACGGTGATGCCATTCGGCCTCACCAATGCACCCGCCACCTTCCAGGCGGCGATGAACGACATCTTCAGGGACATCCTTGAAGAATACGTTCTCGTATACCTGGACGACAGCCTCGTCTACAGTCGTACCTTAGAAGATCATATCAGACACCTCCGCGATGTCCTACAGCGCTTACGCAAGCATGGCTTCTATGCCAAGCTCAGTAAGTGCCGCTCTGCCCAGCGCAAAGTGGACTTCCTAGGACACCATGTGTCTGACCAGGGTCTCCAGATGGACGACGCGCAGATCACTGGTATTGCAGAGTGGCCCGTCCCCACATCTGCCAAGCAGCTTCGCAGCTTTCTAGGCCTCACCAGCTACTATAGTAATTTTATCCAGGGATACGCTAGGTATTCCTACGTCCTTACCTCCACCCTCCTCCGGAAGAACCCGCCGTGGTTTTGGACACCCTTCTGCGAGGACGCCTTCGCCCCCTCAAGAAGGCGGTGACTTGTGCGCCGGTTCTTCGCCTTCCCGATTTTGATCGTCCCTTTATCGTCACCACCGATGCGTCAGATATTGCAGTAGGAGCTGTCCTTTCTCAGGTGTTTCCCTCTCCTCCAGATTCACCTTACCCCCATGTTCCTCCTTTTCCCCCCCCTCCTGCTGACACTGCTTTTCGACTGACGCCTATCCTACCACCACTTCCCTCCACTGACAGTCCTCCCATTACTTACTCCCCGACCATCGCGGAGGATGGGACGGTCGAGGCTCGTGCTGGGGATTGCCCGATCGCTTTCTACTCCCGTCAGCTACTACCTGCTGAGATAAACTACACTGCCGATGAAAGTGAGGTTCTCGCAGTAGTTTATGCTACCCGGCATTGGCGYCATTATCTGCACGGGGCGCCCTTCACGGTGCGCACGGACAACTCAGTTGTCCAGGCTTTCCTCACGAAGCCTAAGCTTTTCCCTCGACAGGCACGCTGGTGGCGTGACTTATCCGAGTTCAGTTTCACCACTCAGCCCATCAAGGGTGAAACGAACCGCGTCGCCGATGCCTTGTCCCGCCGTCCTGATCACAATCAGGAACCCATCCATCTTGCTGCCGTCTCCATCACCAGTGTTGATCAGTCGGTGATCGACGCGTATCGCACTCAGTACCGCCACTGCCCCGATTATCTCGTCATCCACGCGACACTGCGGAGTGGCAAGACCGTTCCTTCCTACTCCCTCGGGGAGAACGGCCTCGTGTACTGGCATGGCAGATCTGGTCAGCTAGAACCACGTATCTACGTTCCCTCCACTGGACAGCTTCGCGTCCAGGCTGTAGCAGAGTTCCATGACCAGGCAGTTGCCGGTCATATGGGTTTCCACAAGACGTTGGCTCGTGTTTGCCGCCTATACGTCTGGCCGAAGTCCAAGGACTTTGTCAAAGCCTACATCCAGGAGTGTCCTACCTGCCAGGAGGTGAACAGTGCGAACCACCTTCCGTATGGGTTACTTCAGCCCCTACCCATACCTGAAGGTTGTTGGCAGTGTATCTCGATGGATTTCATTGGTCCCCTCCGCCCACCCACTCAGCGCGGTCATGATGCTATCTTGGTCGTTGTCGATCGCTTCACGAAGCGTGCACGTTTTGTTCCGTGCCGCTATCGCATTAG